AAGAAAGAGTCGGAGCTGGTGGGCGACAGGGAACCGTTGAATGAGCTGGAGAGATGGTGTATATGAAAGAGTGGGAACATGATATGACTTCCTAATTCCTATTACTCGCGTTCAGAAAGCTCATGAAACTTATTTTCTGTCACTTCAGTCCAAACCCTTCCTTAATCTCTGCATGTCCTACATTTGCTGCTACTTTATTGTTTCAGGCCCCTTTGCGTCTCTCCGGTAATCTGCGGCATTGCCAGTTTCCTTGTGAGAAGAAAGCACTGAGGATTTTGTGGTACATTCCATCACCTCTGCTCATGTACAAATATACAAAGTTTAACATGAGGGAGCTGACATGCACTCAGAGAGGCAAGTGCTCATCTTGAAAGCAGTGGCAGTCCCTGTGAAAGAAAACAGACTTCTCTTGAAAATCCCCCTCATGCTTCCTTTTATCATATAACCACAATATCAAGCTTCATGTCACTTTTCACTGGCAGAAAAAGAAGGGCAAACCCCATGTGAGATGGAGAGAATTTGGATTTAAAAAAAAAAGCAAAGATGGCTTATATACTGCCCCATAGCACTTACAGTTCTCTGGCCAATTTACAGTTTTTAAATTATACAGGCTACACATTGCACGCATGCACGCACGCGGGTGTGCGTTAAATTATACAGGCTACACATTGCACGCACGCACGCGGGTGTGTGTGTGCGCGCGCACACACACCCACCGGTGAGCTGGATACTCACACACACACACACACACACACCGGTGAGCTGGATACTCATTTTAATGGCCTCAGAAGGATGGAAGGCTGAGTGAACCTCATGCCAGCTGTCAGATCCATTGGTATCAAACACTGATGACAAGCAGAATTTTGGCTGCAGAGCTACAGGATAACCAGAAAGTTTATGTCATATTGAGAATGGAAAGAACTGCAGAGTTATTGGAGGTGGAGTTTGGTTTGGTTTGCTTTGTTTGAGCATGCGTGGAAGAACCTGACAGATACCTCCGGTTATTGGAGGTGGAGTTTGGTTTGGTTTGTTTGAGCATGCATGGAAGAACCTGACAGATACCCCCATCTGACCCATGGAAGCCATAGCATGATCTTCTCTCTGCTAATACTAGCTGTACCTATTGAATCTGGCTACAATGGTTGGGTGGAGATGGCATATTCGTTCTTTTTTAAAGAATTTGCCATGTTTTCCTAATTACATATATGGGGCGGAAAGAACACGAGGCTTCAAGAATGCAGGCAAAAGTAAAATGGAGAGACTTGTCTGTTTCTGGCTGGATAGTTCAGTGAGATAGTTGGCTGTGCAACCAGACGTTGGGAGTTTGATTCCCCAATGTGACTCCAGGGAGAAGAATCAGCCAGTGTGGCCTTGGGCAAGCTGCAAGTCCAGTCTTGGAATGCCCCCAGAAGAAGGGAATAGCAAACTACTTCTGAGTATTCTCTACCTGGAAAATCCTGCAAAGCATTGGCATAAGTCAGAATTGACTTGAAGCACATGATTATTATTAGAAACCTGTATATACAGTGGTGCCCCGTATAGCGACGTTAATCCATTCCAGATTAATCATCGCTATGCAAAAACATCACTAAACGGAACGTAAAAAGCCTTAGGAACACATTAAACTTTTAATGCGTTCCTATGGCTCCAAAACTCACCGTTCAGCAATGTTCCTCCATAGTGCCGCCATTTTTGCCTATACAAAACATTGCAATGTGATCGCATTAGCGATCTAAAAAATTAGATTGCTATGCGAATTCGTCGTTAAACAGTGCGCTCATTATGCGAGGCACCACTGTAATGCAAAAGAAGTGTTGCTTTAAAAGAAAAAAAATGCTCCCCCCCTTTTACCACACTTTCTCTCTAAACTATTTGCTTTTATCTGCAGTTTTCAGTATCCACGGGATTAGGGGAGTTCTACTGTATAGCCAAACTTCTAATAGAGATTGCTACATCTCTGAATTATCCCCGCGAGGCACCACTGTAATGCACATTTCACGGGATATTTTACAGACATTTCACTCTAATTCTGCAAAATATCCCTTTATTTCCAGGTAGACATTTGTGCTTGAAAATTTATGTACAGGAGAAAAAATATATTTATTGACATTTTTGAGTTTAATCTATGGGTCTAATTTCATGGGCAGTTGCTGCTTTTTATGGTTTCTTTTGAGTTGCTAATATATCCATGTTTGTTTGTGGTGCTTTTAAATAGTAGGTTGACCATTCTTAGCATCTGAAGAAGTTGGTTGTATCCATAAAAGCTTGCACTGAGGTGCATTTGTTTATCTTTTCATCTTAAAGGTACCAAACTACGTTTGCTTTAGTGTGTTTTATTTTTATTGTTCCTTTAATGAAAGCATGCATGTGTGTGTTTGTGTGTGTGTGTGTGTGTGTCTGTGTGTGTGTGTGTGTCTGTGTGTGTGTGTCTGTGTGCGTATGTGTGAAAAACAAAAACTTGAAGATACCAGGACTGAGAAGGTAGAGATTCTGATCTGAGGTCTAAAATATGCCTCCCTCCATGTTCCATGATAGCTTAATAGCCTTCCATGTTGGGAGCTAGTTCAGTGTTGCCATTAACTGTAAACTTATTCTATGAAGATGTCTTGTAGCTAACTTTGGAACCCTGCGCCAGCCTGTCTCTGTATGTACCACACTGTGCTGTCCTTGAAACCATGCATCTAAAGGATAAATCCTGTACCTCTGCACAAGGGAAAACACATGTGCAAAACCACATAGCCATTTGTTTTATTATTATTGGAGAATCTGAATTCTCAGTCATTAAAAATCCATCCTCTGCATAATCTGCTCCAGGATTTGTTTCCCAGTTTTGATGTAGACCATAAGCACAGATTTACTTGCACATCCTTCTTTCTGATGGTTTTACTGCCTTTTAATCTGCAGCAAGATAGTCCCTGGAGTCCATTTCACATGGGTGCAGAAATCCAGTTCAGGTAATTATCCTTTCTTTCCAAGTGAATTAAGACAGAGAGAATCCCATGTTTAGCTGAGATTTGGTTGCCTAATACTTGTCACCTGCAAGACATGTCACACAGGTAAATCGCAAACCGCCTCTTTCTGCCCGTCTAAAGTGGATTTTCAGGGTATCACTGAAGTTTAATACCCAAAGGGCGTTAAAGTTAAGAGAAAAAAATGGTAATGTCTGTGTATAAAATGTGATTTACTGTAATAGGCTTTAGGAGCACAACTCCTTAGCATGATACTTTCTACACTAATCATGCAGATATTCTTTCCTCTGTAAAACAGAAATCTGAATTATGATGTCCACAATTCAGAATGTTAAAGGTTCAACTCCACTTAAATGATTAACAATATTAAGGCGGTGAAAAGTAGCCTGCTGTCAGTTAAGCCTACAATTAGGTAGAACCAAAACATTTGAATTCTTGCCCCAGTGACAGATCTGGTTTAAACTTCAAACTGTTTAGATATAACTACTCTGTTCACCTTGGAAATGTGTTCTATGCTGAGCTTTTGATTACAAGTCAAACAATATGGCCACCAGAAGCTTTCTAGGACCACAGCAATGATGGTGTTCCACCCTAAACATCTGGGGTGAGTCCCGTTCCACTCATGCAGAGGCTTCAAAGCTGCTTATTATGTGGATGATCACCCAGTCGCTCGCAATGTCTCCTCCTTCGTTATACATGCCTTTTTGGCACAGTGACTTTCCATGAAATCTTCAATCAGCTTTCAAATGTGGAGACCACATGCCCTCCAATGGACATTCATCTTCCTGGATCACGGCTGTAACATGTGGAAAAAGCATTCGAGAGAAAGCAGAAGATCATTGGTATAACCTTTGCAACATTATGTGAAAGACTGCTGGATAGTCACAACCCTCCTTGGGTTGCAGCCTGGCTCCTACTTTCATATGCTTAACAGCCCTCCTGCCACCAGTGAGAGGGAGTTCTGGAGGTGAGGGCCTGCTCTGCTCATGTACGATCCTTTTGTGATATAGAATGTTGTGTGATCCCAATCACAGAGGTCTATACACCAAATCCAAATCTATACACAGAGAGAAGGTTTTCACTCAAGGTATGGCAGACGGCGAAGTTGCAAACCATCATGTTCACCCTGTGCTCTGCCTACACAAAGGATTTTACCATTTCGAAAGGTGTCCCCAAAATATACCTGAGGAGAGAGAAAAGGATGCTTCTGCTTTGCTTCCATGAGAAGAATCCTCCTGCCAAGGGTGGTGAGCTGTTCCACTAGAGCAATGGTTCCCAACCTTGAGTCTCCAGATGTTCTTGGATTAAAACCTCTAGAAGCCTTCACCACTAGCTGTGCTGGCTGAGGTTTCTGGGAGTTGTAGTCCAAGAACACCTGGGTTACCCAAGGTAAGGAATGCCTGCATTGTGGCCATAGTAGGCATTACAATTGCACAGAGAAAGAGAAGGATGGCGAGTAATGACAGAACAGCATTCACTTTCTTTTCATCCTGCCCCATATCAAATCTCCTGCCATACCCCAAACCAAACTCATGCTTGTCTTCCTACATTTTAATAAGTTTTGGCTTTACAGTGTGGATGTTAATGTGAGAGATAGTGGGAGGGAGGCTCACTTCAGATCCACCATCATACACACAATTTCAAAAGCTAAGTGTGGAGTCATTCTGTTAAAAAGGAAAATTACAGGTATTTCTCGTTTTTCAACTCTGCAACAGATCAATTTAATACTTAAGCAGCTACGTATTTATCAATTAGCATTATTTTTCTCTCCCTGTCTGACTCTTTGTATTGTTGTAACTCCATCAAACAGCCATTTGTTCTTTTAGGGTAAGTAATCCCTTCAAATTCTTCACTTTCATCTGGATCCCTGTATGTTGTTTGTTGTTCTGCTAAATCCTTATTACAGAGACCTAGGAGTTCCACAGGCCCGATGAATAATTAGAAATGTTTTATCCCAGAGCTTCAAAAGGGTGCTAGAAATAATTATAAGCAAACATTTTATGTAGCATTCCATATCAATCCAATCCCTGCTTTGTGTTGTTTGTATTGTAGATAGCGAAAGAATGAACAAGATCTTGGTTATAGCTCCGTCAGCAGAAAAGAGGCAGATGTTTTATAAGTTGCTCTTGCTTTTGTTGTGTTTGTTGTCTCCACTTTCCAGCAAGCCTGGGCTGTTTGTTCCCTTCCCACTGATGGTTGCTCACATCTGTAAAGATGTAAAGGCAGCGTTGATTATTGAGCCCGCCAAGTAGTGTGATCCCATTGGCAGCTTCTATTGTCCTTCTTCAACTTTCTGTCCCCTTCTTTGTGCATAAAGTGGCCATAGGGTGTCAGTTAGAAGTGGGGGGGAGCCAAATCTAGGCCAAAGTACAGTGGTGCCTCACATAACGAGTGCACCGTTTAACGATGAATCCGCATAGTGACACATTTTTGCGATCGTTTTTACAATCACATTGTGATGTTTTAATAGGCTAAACATCACACTCCGATGATCGGTAAGCGTTTCGCTTACCAATCTTCGCATTGCGATGTTAGGGAAACAGCTGATCGGCGGTTCCAAAATGGCCATCAGATCAAGAAAATGGCCACCTGCAGCGTTTTCGCACCCTGCCCTTGCTAACCGAGGTGGCAAAAATGGCGGCTGGATGGGGAATCTTTGCTTACCGGAGAGTTTTCCCCCCATAGGAACGCATTAAACGGAGTTTAATGCGTTCCTATGGGGTTTTACGTTCCGTTTAGCGATGTTTCCGGATAGCGACGTTTTTCCTGGAACGGATTAAAGTCGCTATGCGGGGCACCACTGTAGTTTCTTTAGTTGTGTTGTTGGGTGGATGGGCAGACAAGACATTTCTGGCTCCAGGTAATAGATTTAGATGGGATCTACAAGGATTGCCCTAATCCAACATGGAGGCAACTTTGGTGGTTTGGAATGTATCACAAATCAGTGCAGAGCAGTTTGTGCCCCAGATGCAAAGCCATTTATAAGCCTCTGAGTGACTTGCATTGGGAAACCAAAATGACTATAACCTTTTTGCTTTCATGCTGGTGTATATGAAATTCATGTTGCAGAGTTTTGAATTTCTTGGTTAATTTTTTCTAGCTGTGCAGCAGAAGTGCAGGGATTCCCAGAGCAGAATTAGCTTCAAGTGTTCCAGAGTAAACCACTCCTTTTTCTCATCAACTGACACTTAGAGTCTCAATAACTCACTCTGAGATATTTGTAAGATAAAGAATAGAAGATTTCATTATGTACAATTGAATACATAACAGCAAGCTAAAAACATGACTGCTTTGAGCAACAGGACTCACCAGGCTCACTGCTTTCAGCAAACTGACTGACTCCAACAGACTACAGAGAATGAAAAAAAGGTCTCAGCAGAGAGTTGTGGTTCTCTTTGAATTCAGAGGTAGGAGAAATGAATGGTTACTGTTGGACAGACTGGCAATCACATCAGTCCCGGAAGATCCCTCCCAGTCATACCTACTAAAGGCAGCATTCAAGGTTGAAATAGCTCCAACAAATCAGACACATCATAGACCTTAAAGAAGGGAGTAAATGGGCCAAACAGGGGCTTGTGCACCAAGCACTTTTAAATTTTGATATTGTTTTTAAAACAAAAAGAAAAATCTTTGTGCCCCCATTTCTGGGTATTGATCATAAAATGATTTGTAAATTTACCTTTTCTTTGCCGAGGAACCACATCTGACCATTCTCCTTCAACTTTGGTTTCATGCATTTCTTTCCTAAATCAAGACAAATCGAGTACATAGCCTTAGTACAGTATGTACATAACACAGCTAGAGCAGCTTGATACGACTTTAATTGCCACAACTCCACACTGAAGATTCCTGGGATTTAAAGTTTATTGAGATACTTACCATTCTCTGCTGTAGTTCAAGGAAGTACAATAGAATGGTCTAACACATAATTACAAGTACCTCCACAAAGCACAAATCTCATGATTCTGTGGCAGGAGGGTTATGACAGTCCAGGTGGTATCAAATTGCTGTAGCTGTGTTAATAAAATGTCCATACTCTCCCGATATATACAGTTACAAACATTTTTATGTGTGTACAAATTAGTGCGAAAGGAGGGATCAAACATGGTTTATTAATGAAGCCATGCACTGACTGCATCTTCCCTGAAGTTTTGTCACAATATTACAACAAAGCCCACTTTTGTTCTTGTCACCACTTTTTAGATTACTCTTAACTATTAGTTTAACTTAATTTAAACATTATGTTCTGATGGATTGATTGAACAGGATTACCCTGGAGATTCAGGCTAAAGAGGTAAGAGTGGATCTGGCACTGTCCATCAACATTTAGAAGCATCTTGAACGCAAACAGGGCACTGACATACAGGACCTGGTCACAATTTGTCCCAATATGATGAAATGTGTTTCCCTCCTATTGATACAGTGGGGTCTCGACTTACGAACGGCTCGACATACGAACGTTTCAACTTACGAACCGCTCTCATAGGAATATATGGACTCGACTTACGAACTTAGATTCGAGTTACGGACTCTCCCCCCCCCCTTTTTTAAAGCTAAGTCATCTTAGGTTAAAAGGAAAAAAGAAAAAATATCCCCCCTCTAGTGGCAGACGGCAGAATAGCAGCTTCCCATTAGTTTCTATGGACGAAAAGAGCAGATACGGATTAAATGGTTTTCAATGCATTCCTAAGGGAAATGAAGATTCGACTTACGAACTTTTCGACCTGAGAACTGCCTTCCAATACAGATTAAGTTCGTAAGTCGAGACCCCACTGTATTGTACTAATTGTATCTAAATTTAAACATAAGCTTATATATTAGCATATTCACAATTTATGAAAATCTCTGTTTTCCTTTTTCTTATTGAGGCCTAGGTAGACACTCAAGACTTAAAACCCATTTAATCTAGCATTGCAATAATCCCAGGGACCATCAAGAAGAAGGTCATCTACAAACAAGATTGTGCCTAGGGGTGGCCCCCTAGGCACAATATTCCAATCCCATCTGCAAAAATTGCTGGAGAGCAAAGCCTCTGTCTCACAAAGAGGAAATGACCAGTTTTCACTTGCTTGCTGTTTGTAGGGATTCAGTATCATTAATCTTTATTATATATCAAAAGTGAATATTCAGTGAAATGTTGATATATGGTCCTTTCCGGAGCTCTATACAAAAAGGAAAATTTTGAGCATGCTTGAGTTTTTCCTCCCAGAGGTTCCACTGCTCAGGTCATGAGGAAGGAAGGGATGTAGCATCAGCACCTTCTTTGTAGAGGATCCAGTGATAATTGAGAGCCGGCTTATGAGGGAAGGGAAGGTGCCTGCTAGCAAGGCCAGTCACCTCCGTTTGTCCCCCAGGATCTGTGCCAGAGTGTTGCCAAGGTGACATACCATGGCCTTATCAGGAGCTTTTCCTACACCAGATTCAGGTGCAGGTGATGGGATGACAACTACTGGTCTTGGCAGCAGCTTTCCTTCCTAAAGCATCTGGGCAAAAAGTGCACAGCTCATGGGAGAGGAAAGCAAGAGGTCTATGGCTAAGCCTACCTGACAACTCCAATACCCCTTCCAATCCATTCAGCTATAGAAGCTAGAGAGCAAGTGCCCAGCTACATGGTCCTCTCACTAGGAACTTTGCCTAAACAGGCTCCATGGACCACGGAGAGTCAGCAACAATGCCCAGCTCCTAGCAAGGGAAAAGGAACTGGCTTGGACAGCAGCTTTCCTTGTAGAGGATCCAATGGTGAATGCCAGCTGAGGATTAATTTAGAAGAAAATCCAGGAAAGGATGGCGGCCAGGTAACAGTGCATGGTTTCGGCAGGGAATTATGGGAACTGGCTTTGGTAGTATCTGTTTTAGAGAATCCAACAATGGACCTGTGGAATGGCAGGAGCCAAGGAAGCAATACCAGATTGGAAAAGGAGTTGAGTGGAATTAGAGAGTAGAGCTTCACCTACGCAGGATCGAGACACAGAGCAAGACATGGAGTAAAGGCAAAGTTTGTTCATCCTTTCCCAGTCCAAACACACAGCTTTGAAGGTGACTGGATCCCACACCTGAGGAGGTCTATGCCACATGGCCATCACCTAGTGGCAAGTCTGCACTCTAAGGCAGGCAATTTCACCAACACGTATGCAAAGTGTCAATAAGATTCTGGCCTCAAAGTTTACATTTTACTATGTTTCTCAAGTTGACGGTGCTGAGTAGCCTTTCCCCCAGGCCATAACAGTCTGCGTTTCCCCTCCATTTATGGTTGTTGTTTTTTTTTTAAATTAATTAAGTCCCAGAAACATGCACTTAATGTCATATACTTGGAGACAGAGTAGGCCAGAAGAGCTTTGCCATAGCAAAATTGACCATTTTTGTTTATGTTGTCCTGCAAATCTTTACATCTGCAATGATATTGCCAAACAACATTATTGTCCAAACCTCCACCCTGCCCCAAAATGGCAAAACTTAGATAAAATGCCCGAAGAAAAATTACTGCTTGAAATAAAATAGACATTTAAATCTTACAGTGATCGGTGGCTATTGGCTTTTTTTTAAAAAAAAAAATCACGAATACATGGGTATTAAAAGACCCAGAATTTTTCTCTCACTGCTAAATACTGCATGGACACTGTAAATAACCTGCCTATTTAAGTTTTATCTTGTCCACTTTACATTGCTCGTGTACAGGAAATGGACTGTATTTAATATTGATGGCTCTCCATGTGTCATTTAATCTTCCCTATTGATTGGATTTCATCAGAGTGTTGGGCTTGGACAGGAGCTTTGATTATACTGTAAGGATTCTTTGCAGTTTTCTGTTACTCAACACCATATCAATGCACCTTGTGGTGTGATATCACTTTCACAATCAATACCTGGAAAGAAAATAGAAGAGGCCTGCAGGAAAAAAAGAAAGAAAATCTGCCTGTTAAGTCCCTTTTTGCACATAGATTAAACCTCTCCAATTGAGAAGGGGTTATTGTGTGTTTTAACACAAGCGTAAGAATGAGCTGGGGGAGTAGTTTGAGAAGGGTCTCAATGGTTTATTTCTGCAATTTGACATCATTTTTTATTTAAAGGAGTCAAGCAATTGATTTTGATCCTAGATCATCTTTAGAAAAGGGTTATTTAAATCACCTGTCTTATTTTACTCCTATTATCCTCCATTTTGTATTGAGTTAAGAACATCCATTAACAGCTTGGGATCTGGGCGTCTTTAGTATTACTTTCCTGCAAATGTATATGAACCCATAAACCCGTCTATACTCTGATCCTCAGCATCTGAGACTTACTCCAGCTGCCCTTACTAACAAAAGTATAGTAGCAAGCTAATCCAAAATAGTACCTTTTCACTGAAGGCAAGTCAGTTCTGGATAAAAAGATGTCTGATTATAGCTAGTAATACAGATATGTAAGCTCTAAAGTGAGATGGAAACTATACACAGCAATGGATTTCTGCATGATTACCATTTCAGGCAAGGCGTCTATTAGCAACAGTCCTGGAACAATATTATGAGCACCAGATCAGGCCTCATCCTACCTGCTCATTAGCATTTGGCTTGGACAGCCCAATAAACGTGCCAGTTAGTGAAAATCGTGATGTGAGTTCCTGCAGACATCTCTCATCCAGGAGCTGGACAGAGTCCACTAACTCACTTGACACAGGAGACCCAATAGCTACCAGATGGTAACAATGTTCAGCAACAGCCAACTTTGGGCCAGATCCAGACGAGTGACCTGTAGGTGAAAGGCTCCAAGTCCTGCTAATAACACTATCAGGCATCCTGGTCTACAATAAATGATTAAAAGACTGTGAAATTCAATCGGCAGTCTTGGATCAGACGCTGTGTTATGCTGCTCTTGTGAGTGATTGGATCATCGCGTTACATTACTATCCCCATTCAAATTTAACATGAAATGTTGTTGTTTTTGTTCCTGGTTCAGGAATCTCTCTCTCTCTCTCTGCGTCTCTTTAAAGAAACCCTCTGCTCATCCCACAAAATATGTTTTGTTTCATTTTGTTTTTGCTCTTTTTCCTCTCAGTGGGTGAGTTGCTTTCTTTCTTTCCGTCTCTCTTTCTTTCCCTTGTGTCTCAAAATAATAAATGTCAAAGCTTGGAAACTGGTAATTTGGCAATTTTAGACAATCGCCTCGGTACACCTTTGAAGCAGTAGAAGTTCAAAGGCTTTGGAAAGACGACCGTTGCTTTGCCTGTTGCTCTAAGTCATTTGAAGTAATTGGTCTTGTCTGACGTACGTTTTGAACTGAGGAAGTAGTGCTTTATTACCACAATCAGATACCCTTTTTTTCCCACTGAGGAAGTGAAGTTTTCCTCACAGATGTAGATGTCTGCTTGATAAGGCAGAAAATAGACAGATGTGCCTCTATGCACTAGGGATGAGGTGTGGAGAAGGAACAAAGACAACTGCTGAGAAAATTCCAAGATGCAGTGTTGAAGTGTTTTTTGGAAGAGTTCCCAGTTAGGAATGTTTTCACAAACAAGCTAGCTTATATCTAAATGGGGAGGGGAAGGAACACATTCCTAACACATATGTATCAATGTGTCACTTATTTATTGATTGCATTTGTATCCAGCCTTGTCATAAATATACCCAAAGCAGCTTAAGGCAATAAAACAAAACAAAAAAACACACATTTAAAGGCAAAGCATTAAAAACAACAACTACAGCCATCCAAAAATCAAATATTAGATATTAGAATATTAGAAATAGTAGCCAGTTAAAATGTAATCACATTAATATACATATTAAAATATAGTATGTGGGTGGGTGGGTTAAATCTGCTCCATAGGCTAAAAATCTTTGAATAAAATGGAATATTTCACTCCAGCTACAAAGGTTTTAACAAAAGGTATAGGGGAGTCTCCTTTGGCAGGAAGTTCTGGTTGGGCGTATCCACTGAGAAAACCTTTGTTCAAGTGGCACAGTATTTACATCAACAGTTGGAAGAACAGAGAGAAAAGGCCTTCTTGGAAGAGCTCAGCAGCACCAGCATGGCTTAATGTGAAAGATGGCAGCCCTTTAGGTAACCTGGTCCTAAGCCATTTAGGACAACATATCAAAGGTGGGGGAAGAGATTTTGAAAATTATACTTATAAGCTGCTTTGAACGCTACATGTAAATGCGATTAAGAATAACAGTAATAATAAAAGTCATAACTAGCGCTTGGAATCGAAACAAACAAAAAGGCATTTCCTCCTTTTGTTACATTCCTTTGCTGTTGTTCCTTACTTTGCGTATTTTTCTTCTTCTTTTTCTTCTGTATCAGGTGCTTACATAAGCAATCAAAGCGTATGGACTATTTTTTACGAATTACAGTGGTGCCTCGCTTAACGAGCGCACTGTACAACGAAGAATCCGTATAGCGATCCCTTTTTGGGTATCGCTATACGGAGCTGCCCCAATCGCCGCACTCGCTTTGCGACGATCAAATTTCTTTCCTAAATGACATATTCCATTTTCCCTCTCACATAATTCTGTTGATGCACAACATATATTGAAATATCCACAAACTATAGTGTATTCATTTGTCTAGGGAGTTAATTAGTTTAAGAATGGCAGAGATTTGCCAGCTTACTCCTCTGTTTTCAGTTTTCAGTAAATCACTGCCATCTAAAGTGCTCATACATGGCTGACCTTGACCTGAAGCTCAGCAAACTCGTATCAATTGCTTTTCCACCTGTTCTTCTGGCCTGTGCTAAGGGCTTCTTGAGGCAGTATGTCTATGCCTTTAACCATACCACTTCAAACTGCATGTGGAGCTCAAATGGTTCAATGCACATCTCTGTCTCCATTACCTCTCCAAAAGAAAACCTGATGACTAGATTGAGGTAGGAACATTATAGCCCATTTCCCTTCCTTCTATGGAAAATGTGTCCATCATTCAATTTGTCATATATCGACCATGGTGTCATACCCACAAAGAAAACAACAACAACAACAACAACAACCATATTTTATAGTGGGACAGGGTGGGAGGGGGACAGATATTGCTTGACGGATGGCAGGCTTCGTTATGAAGGGCATTAGAAAATTCACCAGGAAGAGGGATGTTGAGGAAGGAGTACAGTATTTGGGATTAATCAGAGGCGGGGCTTTGTTGCGGTGCTGCCAGCAACTCCAGAGAGGAGCTCTCTCTGGAAAAAGCTGGAACCCTCCGGTCCGGGATCCCCCTTTTGAAATGGGGATCAAAGGAGAGTCTAGAAGAAGTCTCTCTGAAGCAGATGGTGAGCAGCAGAAGGAGAAGAAAGGGAGGCAGACCCGGACTTTTTTCTTCTGAAGAAATCACCGTGCACGGACTGGAGCGGGCGCCATTTTTTGGCACTGAGCCGCGAGGAACCCTTTACCGGGGGAGAGGAGAGCAATCAATATAAACTAAAAATATATAACAAGTAAGTAAGCCGAAGCCTCTGATTTATGAAACAGCCTCATTAAGCTGAAATAAGAATGAAAATATTTGGCTGAAAGAATAAATGCAGCGGCAGGTTTATCTTATCAGTCTGACTCAAAAGCGAAACTAAGCTTCTCCAAGTGAACTATTAAAACGCCAGGCTGATTCTAAAGCCGAGAGTCTGAGATGGAAAAATAAATCTTATGTTTCTGGAGAAGAATCCCAGACAGCAACACCGTCTGACTGGATTTAAGAGACTTCGGTGGATGCAGTGTGGCTGGGATACGTTACTCTTTGCCTTCTCTGGACTTTGTGAACTATAAATAATAGAATCTGGTGGTTTTCGGGAGAAGGAGCTGACGTGGCCGACTGGACTAAGGAGCATTAAGGGGTTAATGAAGATCACAAGACGAGCTCCAAGGGCAATCTACTGGACAGTTTGAGACTCTGTGACTGTTGTTTTGTTTGTGACCACGTGTGAGTTTAATAATAGAAGCTTGCTGAACTCAGGAGAAGAAGAAATAACTGTGTCATGGTTCTATTTGATATTGTATTTGCTGGGCTAAAAGTTGATTTTTATATTACAATATTTGGATAAAGATTGGAGGGAGATCTAAGGGGAGGTTTATGATGAGGGGTTTGAATTGTTGATAAAATTGTGGAAACTGTGGAAGGATTTCTAGGGGGTGATTATTGTGGTATTTATACAAACCCCAAAGCCTGAGATGGACCCCAAAAATTCAAAAGAACAAATGGAGACTTGGTCTGTTCAATCCCAAAGTTCTGGAATAGTGGTGCAAGAAATAGAAAAGGAATGGCAGATTAATATACAAAGGCTAATATTAACAGGGTTTCAGCAAGTGAATGCAGGTCTTAGCAAAATAGAAAATTTGATGAAAGGGACGAAAGAGGGGACAGTAGATGCCAAACAAAACTTAAATGAAGTTGTACAGACTTTAGAATCGTCTGTATTAGACATGACACCAGGTAATATGAATGCAGTAGAGAGTTATCCAGTGACCCATGCAGCTTCCAAAATTAAAAAGCATTATGACAAAAATCTTAAGGAGGCAGAGATACTGAAACCAGATAATTTTATGGTGAAAATATGGGAAGTGAAAAAAATGGATATTCTGTCAGATGGGCTGAAAGACTGTTCAATTCAAAAAGAAACTGAACGATGGGATGTATTGTATAAATGGCAGCAGCTACCAGACAATGAACATGTTTCAAGAATCAAAGGGAAAGAGCTCTGTATAGTTTATGGTATAACCATATAAACAATAACCCAGATCAAACGTAAATCTTGCAGTTTTCGATAGACCAAATTTCTTTCCTAAATGACATATTCCATTTTCCCTCTCACATAATTCTGTTGATGCACAACATATATTGAAATATCCACAAACTATAGTGTATTCATTTGTCTGGGGAGTTAATTAGTTTAAGAATGGCAGAGATTTGCCAGCTTACTCCTCTGTTTTCAGTTTTCAGTAAATCACTGCCATCTAAAGTGCTCATACATGGCTGACCTTGACCTGAAGCTCAGCAAACTCGTATCAATTGCTTTTCCACCTGTTGTTCTGGCCTGTGCTAAGGGCTTCTTGAGGCAGTATGTCTATGCCTTTAACTATACCACTTCAAACTGCATGTGGAGCTCAAATGGTTCAATGCACATCTCTGTCTCCATTACCTCTCCAAAAGAAAACCTGATGACTAGATTGAGGTAGGAACATTATAGCCCATTTCCCTTCCTTCTATGGAAAATGTGTCCATCATTCAATTTGTCATATATCGACCATGGTGTCCTTCTGGATAGGCTGGCTGGGTTGGGAGTTGGGGGCACTGTTTTATGGTGGTTCTGCTCCTTCTTGGCTGACTGTGTCCAGAGGGTGATGCTGGGGGACAATTGCTCTGCCCCATGGCATTTACGTCATGGGGTTCCTCAGGGCTCAATACAGTGGTGCCTTGTATAACCAGCGCCCCGTTTAACGAAGAAATCGCATAGCGATGGCTTTTTTGCCATCGCTTGTGCGATCGCACTATTGTTTTATGGTGGTTCTGCTCCTTCTTGGCTGACTGTGTCCAGAGGGTGATGCTGGGGGACAATTGCTCTGCCCCATGGCATTTACGTCATGGGGTTCCTCAGGGCTCAATACAGTGGTGCCTTGTATAACCAGCGCCCCGTTTAACGAAGAAATCG